CTCAACAGACCAAGAAGACATTAATATTCAAGGTGCACTTTATACTGCATGCAGGAGGCACATGACTCATTTGATATTTATGAGGTCTTAGTTCACCACCTGTTGACCATGGTCATTCTGGCCCCATCTTTTTTCTGTCCAACCAACCAACCAACCAGTCAACCAGCCAATCAACCACCCACCCACCCACCCCCACTCAACCAAACCAACCAACCAATCAACCAACAAAACAGCCAATCAACCAGCCAACCAACCAACCAACCCACCAACAAACCAACTAACCAACCACCAACAAACCAACCAAACAAACCACCAACAACCAACCACAAAACCAACCAATCAACCAACCAACCAACCAACTGACAAATCAACCAACCAATCAACCAACCAACCCACTCACCAACCAACCAATCAACCAACTAAGCAACCTACCAACCAACCAAACCAATCAACAACACACCACCAGTCAATCAACCAACAATCACCCATAGCTACTCATCAGATTCATTGACCAGCCATTGCTACTGGCCAGGCATGCTTGCCTTTCTGTATTTGCTTGGGGTTAACACGCCATAGTTTCCCAGAATTCTGCATCTGCCCTTCTTCTCCTCACTCCTGCATCCTGCTTCTAGGCGACTTCAACCACTTCTATGCCTGCAGCTCACCTGTATGCACTCGGGCTGCCCCCGTTCCACAGGTACCTGTCTCCACCTGGACATCATCTCCACATCCCATGGGCACCTCCACCTTCATATTTCTGAGTGACTCCATCTTCTCTTCCCAAACCGCTGCCCACCTGCACTTCAGCCTACACGTACCACTATCTACCAGTCCACCTGACCGTCCTCTTCTTTAGGCACCAAGGTTCTGGTGTGACTTTTACCTCCTTAAACCATCTCCTGATTGGTCTCTACTCACCATGCCAAAGGGTTCTAATTTCCCCTTGGGCATCCAAGAGTCTTCAAAGTGAAGGTCCAGACGCCGAGCACAATGGCCAAGGCCATTCTTCATTTCCCTCAACCTTCATTTGCTTCTCTCTGGACATGGTAGCAAAGACACTTTGCCTCTCCATGCTCAAGTGTTGTCACCTCACTGAGCTCTGGTCACTTACAGAGCCTGAATGAGCCACGGTCTTTCTCATATTAGGATTATACGCTGCGTAGACTCTCTCTTCTTCCATCCCTACAGGTCCACCATGCTGGCCATCATTCACCACTGGATTCTGCTTCTTCTCCTTCTTCTTTCAAATGTCTCACTAAATGTCAGGTCCTCTAACCAGCTTCCCGAAGCCCCAGGCTCACCTCTGTCCCCAGCCCCCATCCCTGGCCCTCACCTGAACCAAGTACAACTCCTTGCTCGTTTCCATAGTCCCCCGAAATGCCTCTCCTGTTAACCTGTCAATGAGGGTTCCAAGGAAAGAGATGTCACGTTCAAATTGCCATCGAAGGGTTTGGGGTACAGGTTCCAGGGAGCCATATAGGATGGGGTAGAACCTAGGTGAGTATCAGTGGAGTTGGCACCAACTCTAGACTTGGACAAGAAGAGAGAATAAAAAAGAAAGGCGTGAGGAAGAGGTTACTTTTGGGGAGCAGGGACCTTGGTGTGACAGTGGCTGAGATAGCAGGGAGCACACAGGGGAATAGCTACCCCAGTCTTACTCTTCTGGCTTCTCTTTGACTTTAGGCCAGAGTTTCCCACTGGCCAAAGCCACAGCAACCAGAGGACAAGGACCGAGCTAAACCAATCTTAGCACTCCCCATCCAGGGCTGCGAGGATGGAGGAGGACTGAAAGGAGATGAAGAGGGGTCGATGGTTTCTACCAGAATAATGACAAGGGAGTGTGTTCCAGCCTCTCTTTCACCTGGGGACAGAGACCATTCTTGTGTGTGTGGCAGTACTGGGGTTTGAACTCAGGACCTCATGTTGTTATGTAGACACTCTTACCACTTGAGCCACTCCACCAGCCCTCTTTTGTGATGGGTGTTTTCGGGACAGGGTCTCGAGAACTATTTCAACTATTTGTCCTTGGCTGGCTTCAGACCGCAAGCCTCCTGATCTCTGCCTCCTGACCAGCTAGGATTACAGGCATGAGCACCGGCACCTGGCTGAGACTGTTTCTTTTTTATGCGTGCATTCTTAGCATCCAGCAACTCAAATGACCCCCACCTCAGCCCAGGGACCACCCATGCCTGTCCCCACTTATTGATTATTGATTAGGAATCGCCAGGTTCTTCCTTTCCCATGGATTAGTGTAGGTTTTAAAAGCACCTGAAGAGAAAAAAAAGACCTCTCTCTGCTTCCAGCTTCCACCTGGTCCCACCATGCCCCCTTTTGTAATTTCCCTTCCCTAACTTTTAATAAACTCCCTTTCCACCCACGTGTCCTGCCATGGATTCTTCCACGGGGGACACAAACAATATGGAAATCTTTCAGATCACAGACTGCACCATTGCTGTTAACATTTCCACAGGCCTCTTTGTAGGGCAGCTCCAGGGTGACCATGGCAGCTGAAGGGTGGGGGGTGAGCACTGTAACACCTGAAGACCTAACCTTGAGAGGAAGTTACACTGTGCCCCTACCACCAAGAGCTAGGATTGGGCACATGGTCTTGGGAAGGGAATTAGAGCCACTTTTTTTTTTTTTTTTGCAGGTGTGGGTTTTGAACTCTGGGCTTTGCACTTGCAAAGCAGGACCTCTACTGCTTGAGCCACACCTCCAAGTCCATTTTGCTCTGGTTATTTTGCAGATGGGGGGGTCTTGTAAACTATTTGCCCTGCTGGCTTTGAACCAAGATCTTCTTGATCTCAGCCTCCCAAGTGGCTAGGATTACAGGTGTGAGCCACTGGCGCCTGTGGGGATGTCAAAGAACTTGTGACGTGGTTTGAAATACCACATTCTCCCTTTCTGAAATGCTTGTCTCAGTCAGTGCAGGCGGGAAGTTTAGGGGTAAGTCATGCATCCAGGGCCATCCGAGTGTTCCATGGTCCCAAGCCACCAATATCCAGTTCTGTGACTTGAAACTCTACCCCGTTTTTCTCTACCCCAGAAAATCTCCTGCGACAGCACTGTCTAATAGGTTGTGGAAGCCACGCTTGACCATGAATAAATAGATTCAATCCTTTTAATTGTCTCGGAGAACATATTTATTCCGCAGGAAAAAAAATCTATCTGCAGGATAAAAATATTATCCATCAGCATCTTCCAAGTTTCTCCCAAACATCTGTGTTTTCTTACGTTTTCCCCAACAGATGTACTGATTTGCATTTTTTTCAAGATGAGTCACTTTTGGGGTGGGGGGTTATTTTTGACTGAATTTCTCACCTCTCAAGATTCTTTTGTATTAGTTCTCACTACCTAAGGTTAAGGCCACCTCCCTACAGGGGGCCGTCCTCCATTCTATTTGTCTCTTCCCTTGGGCCATTAGGTGAAATACCCTTTAAGACTGGGACCCCAAAAATGGCCTGAGGGCCATTCTTTGTTTGACTTTTTCTTTTTTCAAGAGGTCACCTCCACCGTTGCAAATTTCTGTCGACGTTCGAATGGCTCATTTTAGAAAACCCTAAAGGCAGTAAGACAGGTCACTCTTGAGGAAACTGCTCTACTTGGGGTTCCAATCCTTTCTGGGTTCCCCACACAAAAGCTTGGAGCAAGCATGGGATGAAAATGAGTGACAAATGGGTAAAGGGAGGCCTGTTTCTCTGTGGGCACTCACAGAATCCTCCACCCACATACGGTACCGCTGCATAGGAACCGTTACATTTTGTAACAGTTTTTAAAGCCACACTTTAAAAAGTAACAAGCTATTAATTTGAACAAAATATTCAATCAATATCATAAATATATAAATATTGAGCCCAATATATCCAAAGTAGCATCATTGAAACATGTAACTAATATAAAGACATCCACGAGTGTTTTACACTGACTGCAAACTCTTTTTGGGACTAGCTGCATTTTAGGGATCAATAGTCAATCACGTATTGGCGGCATAAATCGGTTCTTGGTTTCTGCTGCTTCACTGAACCCTCTTTCTTCTTGCTTGCATGCCCTCTTAACCCCAAAACGCCAGTGACTCACACCCGTAATGCTAGCTCCTAGGGAGGGAGGCAGCGAGGCCAGCCCAGGCAAATATTGCACCAGAACAAATGGTTTGAGAGACCCTATAGAAAAGGGCTGTAGGAGGGCCTCACGTGGTAGAGCGCCTGCCTAGCCTGCAAGCGTGAGGCCCTGAGTTCAAACTCCGGTACCGCCACAAACAAACTCACAATGTTTGGTGAACCTAGAACTGATCCCTGCTACCCGCGGTCCTGTTCAGTAGCTGTGTTGATCACACATCGTCTCCACGGGACGTGGATTTCCCCAGGCCAGGGATTTTGGAAAACCTGTTTTTATTTTCCGCGGTTTTCGCGTGCTGAGCCGGGACCGTGGCACGCAGGGCAGCCCAGGGGTGCACACTGGAGGACCGGGGGGTGGGGCGTGCGCGGAGGTGCGTGCGTGGGGTGGGGCGTGCACGGGGATGGACTGGGGGTGGGGACGGGAGCGTGCACGGGGGCGGTCGTGCAAGAGAGGGTGGAGCGTGCACGGGGACGAGTGTGTGCATAGGGGTGGGGCGGGGTGATAAGGGGGTGTGCGCGGAGGTGTGTGGGGGGCGAGCGGAGGTGGAGGAGCGCACGGAGTAGGGGGCGGGGATTTGGGGGCGTGGCTTGGGGGCGTGCAGTGTTGGGGCGGGGCTTGTGTGGGGTGGGGGGCGCGTGGGCGGGGCTTGCGCCAGTTGGGGTGGAGGCGGGAGGGTGGGCGGCACATGGGCGGGGCTTGCGCGGGTTGGGTGGGGGGGACGGCTGGGCGTGGGCGGGGCTTGCGCCAGTTGGGGTGGAGGCGGGGCGGGTAGGCGCGCGCGTGGTAGGGGTGGAGGCGGGGCGGGGGCGTGCGCGTGGGCGGGGCTCGAGCGGGTCGGGGTGGAGGCGGGCAGTGGGCGGGGCGGGGCTTTGCGGGAGGGGGACATGGGAGGCTTGGGGTGGAGGCGGGGGAAGTGGGCGTGCGCGTGGGCGGGGCGTGCGTGGGTTGGGGTGGAGCGGGGCGGTGGGCGTGCGCGGGTTGTGCGCGCCTGGGCGCCGGGAGCGCGGAGCCGGGCGGAACCGCAGCGCGGGTGGCGGGGCCCTGGAGGTGGGTGGGCCGCGCTCACTCCGCCCGCCGGGCCGCGGGGTCGCCATTGGCCGCTGCCGGCCGCTCTCCGCCCGCCCCGGAGGCGGCGAGGAGGACGCGGCGCGGGAGCCGGGCGCAGGGGACTCCGGGGACATTGTTCCCACGGCGGGAGGGGCGCGGCGACCCTCGTGGTGGCGGCGCTGGAGTCGGGGAGTCGGTGAGTGGCTGGCGGCCGCGCGGCTCCCGATCCTCCCGGGCAGCGCGCCGGGCACCGGGAGGCCGAGGTGGGGACGCGGGGCGCAGCGGGCAGAGGCGCGCGGTTCCCCCGGGCCGGGCCGGGCGCTTTGTGTCGCGGCGCGGGGACCCGTGGCCGCTCCCTTCCCTCCCGGCTCCCCCGGGCGGCCACTCGCCGGGTAACGGAGACCGAGTCGTCAGGAATGAGCCTCCGGGGACCGCGCCCGGGGAGGTGGCGCGGGGGTGTCACCGCGGCGCGAGCGAGCGAGAGCGAGAGAGAGAGAGGGGGGATGCGCCCCGCGAAGCGCGCTCCACCCGGCGCGGGCGCGTGCTGAAACTGCGCCCTGGAGCTGGGGACCTGGGGGGGGGCGTGGGAGCGGAGAAGAGGGAGGACAGCCACTTCCGGAGCCGCGGCTGACCCCTGCGTTGGGGGCCGCGGATCTTGGAGTGCGCGCGTAACAAAGGGTGGGACTCCTCTCGCGGGGAGGGGCGCTCGCTCTCAGCCCTGGGGAGAGCGACTTCCTTTTGGGATGGGCATTTAAAAAAAAATTCTTATTATTTTGTCATTTTTTTCTGGTTTTGTTCCTGAAGGCCGGGCACTGATGCATGAGGGGCCCGCCGATGCGCAGCAGCGGGGGTGATGGTTCGGGGAGCGGAGCTGAGGCGCGCCCGGCTTTGGTGAGGCGTGACGGTTATCATGACGGTGTTCAGGCAGGAGAACGTGGATGATTACTACGACACCGGCGAGGAACTTGGCAGGTACTGGGGGGACCCCCTCCACCCCCCCCACCCCACCCCGGAAGCGCATGGTTCTGGGTTCTGGGGTGCGTGCTGTTGTTGTGCAGTGGGCGGTCAACAAACGCAGTGTGAATCCAGACGTCTCCCTCGCCTTCCAGGAGATGTGCAAATTATAGAGTTAGGAACGGAGGAAGGCCGGGGACCAGAATAAATTGCTTGATCCGAGGAGGGTTAGGGTTAGGGACCCCTGGCCTGCGCCAACCTCAGCCTGACTGGGGTTTGAACTCAGAGCTTTGCGCTTGCAAAGCAGGTGCTCTGCCCCTTGAGCCACACCTCCAGTCCATTTTGCTCTGGTTATTTTGGAGATGAGGGTCTTGAGAAGTATTTGCCTGGGTCGATCTCGAACCACGATCCTTCTGAGCTCAGCTCCCAAGCAGCTAAGATTACAGGTACCTGGTGGCCTTGTCCTTCTGAGCTAGAGACACTAAGATTATAATTGCACCTGAGCTGGCTCTTTTGCGTGATTTAAACAGAGTACAAATTAATTAATAGGCTTTTAAAATTTTAATACCTTCCCTCTTTCTGAGTAACACGAGCAGGTATTTGGAAGTGTCAAATGGAACCTTGCCAGATGTTGGGCTTGGGTTTTGAAACTTCTTCCAAACCGGCAATTAAATTACACCGTTGGTGTTGGTGGTGGTTGCTTGGGTTTCGTTACAATGTTGTGTTTTTAACAAATCAATGAGAGCCTGAGGTGGCCATCTGCATCCATGCCGGTAGGAGCTGTGATTCTCAGTAAAACGCTTTGAACAAAGAATCTGGTCTTTGGGAACGCCTAAGCAGGGCTGGCTGGTGTGTTGGAGGTCTGCCTTGTGTTAGCAGGGAACCCAGTTTTCACCCCTAAATTGAAAACTCCCGTTTTTGAACCTGGCCTGTGCTGTGTTTGCCTTATGAGGGGAGAGCGAATGGGGCAAGGACCTTTCAGCCCACGGAGAGCGTATTTACTCAGTGTGTGTGCTGAAGGGTGTGTTTTTCCATCACAGCTGATGTCCCCATTTCCATCCTGAGAAGGAAACCTACAAACACCCACGCCCTAATGAGAGTTAGGAAAGCTGGCCTTTGCTCACAGGCTTTTAGGAATTCAATCAAGTGAGAGTACAGAGGAGAGCACATTTTTAAGTTATTGAAACAGAATGTTTTTCTGGTGTGTTTTAGGGTTGGCGGGAAGCCTCCTTGGGAACCCGTGTTTAGGTTTACGGAGGTTGCTTATTGGAAATTTAGTAAGTGATTAAGAAGGTTGGCTCTGGAAAACTCACATTTCGTGGATGCGTTTAAGATGAAGGGTCAAACTTATGGTTGAAATACTTGGTTTAACTGGAATTAAATCGTCCTGTTCCTGCAGTATATGGTGTTTTCCTTTGGGACTAAAAAAATTGAAAAGCTGATAGAAATAAAGCTCAGTCCCTGTGTATAAGGTTGCCTGTTTATGTGAATTAATGAGAGATGGGTAAATCTAGGTGAGTTAATTGTTCTGTGGATTAAGTATACCAACTTTGTTTTCCTTAAAATCTTTTGGTAGATTTATGTTTTTTTGTTTTTTTAAATAAATAAAGCAAAGCTTCCCTCCCAGGGGTTGGCAGGGGACTCTGTGATCTTCATTTGGTGGGTGTGATGACAGCGGAGGTGGCTTGCTCATTTGTCACTCGTATTTCGCTTTGATTTTGGCTCTGTCTACATTTCTGTGTATAACTTTTGCCTCACAGTGCTAGACTGATTGAGGAATGGCTTGCTAAATAATTTATGTGCCTGAGGAGTTTGAAAGGAGAGCTCTGAAGACCTGGGGTTGGATTTAAAATAAAAATATATGCATATCCATCCATCTTGCAAAGCAGCTACTGCTTTTGCTAAAAGATGGGTCACAAGATTGATTTTACTGAAGGGTTCTCAAGTCCTGTGGTTTTTATGCCTGCCTTAGATATACTCACTTCCTCAAAGCAAGTCTTTTTTTTTTTTATGTGTATTTTTATTTTTTGGTGGCACTGGGGTTTGAACTCAGGGCCTCACACGTGCTAGGCAGGTGCTCTACCACTTGAGCCACTCAGCCAGCCCTGTTTTGTGTGGATTTTTTGAGATCGGGTTTTGGGAACTATTTGCCTGGGACTGGCTTTGAACCCTGAGTCTCCTGATCTCTGCCTCCTGAGTGGCTAGGATAATAGGCGTGAGTCACTGGCTCCTGGCTGGGACCCACCATCTTCATGATCCAACAACGGTCATGGGTGACCGTTGATTTTGACTCTGGAAGGTCTTTCGGGATCTCTTCCTCTATTCCAGGAAGCAGATCACAGGCAGCGGTTTCGGAGAGGCTAAGTACACTTTTGTCGTCTGCTCTTGGGCTGGGTTATTGTAAAGGCCCAGGTACTTCACCCACCATCAGCTCTGGTTACCCATGAGCCTCCTGGGCCCCGCCCTGTCCACTGCTTTCCTGAAGTACTAACCAGCTGAAGACCTCAGGCCCACCTCCTTAAGACGCCTTTCCACAATGATTGCAACCCCTTTGGGTGGGCCACTCTTCCATGCCTGACCTTGGGCTGCCCATCCATGGTTGTTGACATGATTGACTCTTGGTCTTGTACTGCCTGCAGCTGGGATTATAGGCGTGAGTCACTGGAGCCTGACTTCATTTTTTATTAATGCCTAGTTAGCAGGTGCTCAGTAAATATGCGCTGATTGACTGGGTGGATCAATACACGGAGAGCACCTTGGAAAAAATATATATCAGGCCTTCGATAAATTATGACTGGAGAAGATGGGACCCCGGGGGTATAGTGGGAAATGAGAACTGTTTGACTTTTGCACTGTCTGTGACAGACAGCCTCCAGAATTTCCATTTGCTGGGTCGGTTTTGAACAAAACCAATGAAGTGGACCGTTAAATATTTTACGTGGGTTTGGATGATGGTTGGAAGCTAGCAATTCAAATTTATAACGTTCCTTTTTTTGGCATTTTAATTGAAGTATGAATTTGTCCTGATTCGGGCACTGGTGCTCACGCCTGTAAACCTAGCTACTTAGGAGGCAGAGATCAGGAGGATCCCGGTTTGAAGCCAGCCTTGACCAAACAGTTCGCCAGACCCTATCTCAAAAAAACCCATCACCAAAAAGGGTTGGTGGAGTGGCTCAAGTGGTAAAGCACCTGCCTAGCAAGTGTGAGGCCCTGAGTTCAAATCCAAGTACTGTCAACAACAATGACAAAAAGTACAGCAATGCCGTACAATACTGAATGTTGACGGTCACACAGGACTGTTGTTTTGTGTATTTACTATACTGTGCGTTCACTGCTTCTACTTACAAAAAAAGTTTGTCCCTGTCACGCCTGCGCAACCTTCTGTCCTTTGTTTACTGTGCCTCTTAACTCCCTCAGGAGGTCACGTGGGGCAGTTGACCCTGCCCCGAAGGTTTGTGTAAGGACACTGTGATGTCACTGCTAAGTCACTGCCCAGTGATGTGTTTCTTGGCATGAATCTTGTCCTTAAGTGATGTGTGACTGTACACGTGTTAGAGGTGACAGTTAGTGGTGCGAGAAGCCTGTGTGGTAGGACGGTCTAATAGTCCAGGTGGAGAAGGGCTGTGGGGTGATGCTGCTGGTGTTTGTAACGGCAGATTGGGGGGATGCTCGCTTGCTGGCACTATGGGATGTCTGTGTGCATCCATAAAAGATGCCTAAAAGCATCTTTTAGGTTAACTGGGGCCATTGATGGAAGAGCCAAGGAACCCTGAAGCCAAATTCCTGGGTCCCTGGCACTTGCCCTCAGCCATTGAGGAACCCAAAGGCTCCACAACCTTGGCCTGTCCCCGCAAAGCCATGAAAACACACCGTCCATGGACGGTTCTGTGCAACCACTTTAGCAGGAGGTGACTCCTTGGAGTAGTGGAGGTGAGCGGCTGGGGTGGCAGCAAAGCCAGCTGCTGGATACCTGTGGAGTTGGGGCTGGGGCACGTTGACAAAGTCAAGGCGATGTGGCCTGACTCAACGGGGAGATGTGTCAGGAACTTGCACCTTTAATTCTTAGTGGGCTGCTCGGGGTACTTAATCTAGCCAAGCTTTCTGTGCAGATGAAATAAAATGTGACCTGCCAGCAGGAGGAGAGTGCTTTCCATCGGTTCTGGTCAGACTTGAGGCCTGGGGACGTCAGCCGTGGTGGTCAGTGTATCTGTCTTTCTCATGTATCTGGCCAGTGTGGAGATAGGTCGAGTGGCCTTCCCAAGGCAGCTGGCTAGGAGGTGACAAGGGACAGCTGCAGAACCCTGGCCATTGTCTGCCCGACTTAGGATCTCAGCCAAGTTGGGTTGAGAGTTAAGAGAGGTGTTGGGCAGCTGGTGGCCCCTGGAAGCCCAGCCAAAGCCCGCAGCCCCGGACTCTCAGGCCCTGAGGACACATGGGGACCTTCTTTCCTTTTTCTAGTGGCCGCAGTTAGTTTTAACCAAGTCCCAAAGTTAATGGTTGAGCTCTGGAGAAAGTTCCCGACACCTTCTGTCATTATTTAACTTGGGAGGAGCTCACACGTAAGAATCTGGCCTGGTCTTCCTGCTCAGCTGCCCACGGCGTCTCGCGAGCAGGACCTGGGGAGCTGGTGTGGGGTTTTTAGGTGAAGCTAGTGTTCCGTCCTTCTGCACTGCCTCCTAGCCCTGAGGGACATAGAATTTTATGGCAGTATAATTATTGACAGGAAATACAGTGTATCCCTTTGTTAATATCCTACGTGAATAATTTTGCGGGGGTGATTAGGATATATTTGGTGCACAGGGGGGGATTCCCTGCGACAGTTCCGAATGGGCTTACGTGGTGCCTTGGTTAGATGGCCCACACCGCCTCTCCCTCGACCCCCTAACGCCCCACTTACAGCAAAGCACACGATGGAGAAAAGGCAGCCCCTTCACCAAATGCTCACCCCATACAAGTGTCAGCCCAGAGTGGATCAGAGACCTTAATAGCAAGCCTGCAACTTCGAAGGAACTCCAGGAAGCAGCAGGAAATACCCTGGACCGTGCAGGCGGAAGACAGCGACTTTCTAAATCGCACTCCAGCAGCTCGGGTGTCCGGAAGAAAGGATGAAGGAGTGGGGCCGCATCAAGCTGTAGGGCTGCTTTTAAGTGGGCAGGGAGGAGAGGGCAGAGGAAGAGAAGCTGGCCTCGACTTTCGATAGACGTCACGTAACTGAAATGGATTCAAAACGACTTCCCTTACAGGTTCCTGTTTCTTAGGTAAAATGAAAAGCATCCTCGCTTCCATGTCGAGATGGGTATTTACAAAGCAAAAGCCCTAAAACTCAAGTTCGATTGGGTCTTATTTTCAATTCCAGTCCAAAG